CTGGCCATCCATCGAGTTGCCAGGCACCCTCCTAGGGGAGGGTTGTTAGGCCTGGTGGCCACATGGTTCCCTATATGAACACCTGTATGAAATCGAGAAGCCGTGGAGTAACTCAACATAACGCACTGATAACAATTTTAAGATAGTTTTCTGAACCTCAACCTTCTATAGTTCGTCTGGCTTGGCCCTATAGGCTGGCTGGCTTGGGAAGCAGTGCAGAAAGAGGCAGGGCCTGCCAGCAGGAGGGAGGCCTAGCGGCAGGGTGCCGGTTCCGGAGGCTGCTCCAACGTGGTGCGGGGTTGGGGGGTCTAAGCGCTTGAAGAAGGTTATGCTTGGACAGAAACTTGGGCAAGGAGGCAAACTGGGTGACTTTGGTGGCTAGGAAGGACCTCTGGAAATGGGACCTAGATCCTGGGCAGAGCCTTCCTTCCTCCAGGGAGGGGGCAGTGTTCTGGTGATGAAGTTGGCAGGGAGGGCGTGCTTGAAGTCAAGGTGGTCAAATTCCTGTCAGTTGCCATGCTTGAACGGAAAAGAGAGCTGGTAATGAGTATCTTAACAGCCTATAGGCAGAAGCAGTCGCTATAATTGTGGGCGAAGGTGTGGGCCAGGGGGACTCCAATGTATCTGCGAAGCCTGGCTTAGCTAACCAAGTAAACAGAACGCAGAAACTCGCTATTTAAAATACCCCACCCCTCCCCCAAGTGAGCTGCACCACAGTATTAGGGAATAGTGTTGTATCATCAACAGGATATCTGTAGACACCTCGTAGCTCCTAGCCACATCCCTTCCCCCACACCGCCATTTCTTTACTGAAGATTGAATCTAAGGCCTTTACACCCCCAGCCCCTTTTAAATTTTTAAATTTCGAGACAGGCCTAAGTCTCAGAATTGACTGGCTGGGCTTGAACTCACGATCTTTCTGCTTCAGCCTACCGCAATGCTCTTTCACCTTTTAAAAGGGATTTAACCTGTTTATTGTTTACAGACTTATATGACCAACCTAGGGCCTTCAGCTCCTGAATGACCTATAAGAAAAATGGTTTCCTTTGGAGGCAGGGGAAAGGTGCTTCAGGTTGGCAGGGTGGAAAGTGGGTGGGGTTTCTAAAGAATACTCCAGCAGCTGGAAGGTTCTGTCTCTTCCACTCCGTTGGCGTAATAATGACCTTTCCAACTTTACAAAAGATGGTTCTACAATAGACTCGCGCCTCTGATTTCTTGCTCAAGGCCCTCAATGTGGCATAAATACACAATCCTAAATAGTAAACACTTAAATAGTCAAAGCATGTTCTCAAGGAAGAAATAAGAATGACTGCCTTTAGAATCAGAAGCTTTTTTTCGCCTGCTAGAAAGCAGAGGGATTCTGAATCTCCAGGATAAGCGCTCTGGATTTCTCAAAGGTGGCCCCAGCGAGGGGGCAGAAAGCAGTTAAGAAACATAAAAGGGGAACTGTGGGCTTGCTGGAGGGCCACCCTGGCTGACCTCAGCTGGCTTAGGCAAACTCCAATATTGCCCATTTTCCGGACTCCCCCAGGGGGCACCTACACAATCTGCCTCTCGCCACACTACCCAGCATGCGGAAGGCAGGTCTGCTAGAAGACTGGGTCCTAACCCAGCCGGGGACCCTAAAAATGTTCTGTCATGAGCTGTTCCTGAGAAAGAACCACTGGGGGAAAGCCCCTCGCAGTAGTCATGAGACATACTCGCTAAGGCATACTTTGCAGATATGAGGCCCTTAGAACACCCCTTGGATTTCTGCCAAGGTTTACGGGGCGGGAGGAAGGCAGAGCGGATGCCCTAGGTACCCAGAGTCGCCTGGACCAGTCACGCTAGAGTCTGGATGCCCTGAGTTTGGGGATAACCCGCCCTCCAAGGCGAGGCACTCCCACACACTCCCGCGCACAGTCAAGCCTGCTGTCTCTCTAGGACATGGGGTGACCTGGAAGCCCAGAAGGGTGAAAAAGGGGGGGAGACTCTGGGTGAAGTTTCCAACTGAAGCCAACAAACGGCGCTATTGTCGCGCCCTGCGTCCTGGAAGCCCCACGCTCGGCCCAGCTGGAGGGAGCCTTAGCTCTCTTGGGAACGCAGGAGGCTGGGATAGGGAGGCGGAGATAGGCTGTTTTCCTAGGCTTGGGTCCAGGGTTTGCGGTGCTGCCCACGGGCTCCTGGAAGCGCGGAGAGGAGAGTAAGGGTACTGCTGAGGGCGCCCTTTTCTTCCCAAGAGGAGGCAAAAGACCAGTCCTGGATCCGGCAGCGTTCTGCTTCCCTTTACAGGTGTGGGGTGCATGTCAGAGACAACTACAGTTCATGTCTCGCCAGCTGTCCGGCCTTCCTCCCCGAAGCCGAAGCCACTTGGGCTATGGTACCTGCCAAGACACTTTTCCAGAGCTTCAGCGAAAGTCGAACAGCTGAGCTGGTGCCTGAGTCTTCCCAGCTGGGTGGGCCAAGGGAACTGCTGGCCCCCATCCTTCCTCCTCATCTCCCCATGCCCACAAGGCTAACATTGCTTGTCCACTGAAGTGGTACTGTGGGCTCAAAAAGTTTCCTCGGAAGTTTGGAAGGAAATTTGGCTTGACACTTCGGGCTGCGCAGACCACCCCCAGAGTCACCCAGTCCCCCGGCAGCGCGGAGATCGGTTTAATCACAGCGACCGCGGGAAGCTGAAGGAGCGGGAGAGGGTGCCTGGTCCTGGCAAAAGACCTTTGTAAAACCAGAAGGAGGATACATGTGAAAATGAGCTCAAGTACGACTAAGCCACTGACTAAATGTAATCAAATGACAGCCAGCCGGGAGCAGCGATTTTGGGGAGGAGCGCGGGACTAGCCCCGTAACCTCTGCCTTGGAAAAGATGCAATCCAGGCGCTGTCACCACAAGGGCTTACTTGGGTCCTAAAACTTGGAAAGAATCCTGGCATCTGTCAGGCTACTGGACGCCAGGCCGCGCGTCCGTTGGGTAGTTTCCTAAAACGCTCTTAGCAACAGCCTCGGGCGCCCAGAAAAGCATAGAGATGGCTCCGAGGGAAGGCAGCAGGAGGGCAGGGGCCCCTGCACATCGCTTTCTTTAAGGGACAGTGGATTTATCTCAGAAAAAAAATTGACTTTGTCAGCCAAGTTGCCAAGAAAACAGGTGCAGGTGAGAATCGTCCTGTGTGCGCGCACAAACACAAGTTTCTACCCATACATAGAACCTTTCCAGATAGTTCACTATAAAACCCTGAATCCGTTCACCCACCCAACTGATCGCTACCTTTGACTGCGGAAGAGTAAGACCAGGTGGAAAGCAAACTAAGGGGTCAGTTTCAGAACCCCAAACTTTCGGAAGGTGATGCGATCTGAAAGCCGGGATTCAGGTGGCAGCAGTCCGCCTTGCAGAGAGGCGACTGGGCTGATCTGCGCCCTACAAGCCGCTGCGGCTAACTTTTTAATTAGTGCAGGAGAGAAAGACGGAAGAGCCGGGTGTGCAGGCGTCCCGAGATCGCTAGATCTCGCATTAAAGCTACAAAAGCTAGAAGCCTGCTCCCCCAGACATTTAGGATCGATGATTTCCTTTTAGTTCCCCACTTTTCCATGGGGTTAAGGGGGAAGGCGAGACCTCACACTGCCCAACACCTTATTTCAGTTTCTGCCACAGCTGTCCGGGTGGCTTCTCATTCCCACTTGCCGCCTCGGGCTGCTTCGGGAATTTCAAATGCTGTACTACTCGTTTGAGGGGGCCGCGTCGATTGTCAGGGTTCCCTCTCCCTACAGCTCGGGTTCTGGTGCCGCTCATCTGTGGCAGACAACCCAACAAGGGACTGAATGTCCTGCTTCAAGCCTCCGGGGCTCTAGTCATGAAGGCTGTAAAACACGAAAGGAGGAGCACGGATCCGTTAGCAGCGCCCGCTCCCGGGGGAAGCGGCACGGCTGCACGCGGAAAGCCGCGCTTAGCGGTCCTGGCAGGTGCGTGGCCAGCAACGGGGGCCTGGCGGTCCACCCTAGGACGGCTCCAGCTCCGCTCCGGCCACAGTCCCCCCCTCCAAGAAACGTTTCTTTCACTCACAGAGGCTCCCTGTTGCCATGAAAACGGATTTTCCAAGGGGCCCGACCCTCCCCCTCAGGGGCATCGGACTGGAAAAACCGAAATGGCCAGAGAGCACAGACAAAAAGGGGCCGCTAAGCGGGGGCCGAGAGCGAGAGAGCGGAGGCCGGTTCACTCCCTCGGTCCCACACTTACTCCCCGCGCGCAGCAAGCGAGCGCTTCCGCCAGGCTCCTGCGGTGGGCGGAGGGCTTCTCACCCTCCTGCAAACCCCGGGAGAGGCTCACTGCCCGCCCGTTCCACTCCGCGATCTTGAAGCCTGTCTCTCGTGCGGTACCCCGTGACTCCCGCTACGTCCTGCTCGCACTGACCCTCGCGGTGGAGGATGTGGGAAGCCAGTGGCCAGTTCCAGGGAGGGCTTCTTGGAGGCACAGCCTAAGGCACCTCCATTGCTCCTTGAGTCCCCGAAGCCAGCCCGGGTAGCTGCAGGTGCCCAGTGTTCCTAGCGCTGGCAGCAGAAGCGGTCGGAAGTCCTCCGTGGGGACTCCGTCGTAGCTTTGAACGTTGGCTCGGGGATGGGGCATCGGCCTTGACAGGGTTGCAAAGTTGTTTTCTGAACCCCTTGGCCACTGCCCCTCCCCCCAGTCCTGCTGGTGTGCCCCCCTCCCACCTCTTGGAGTTTCGTTCTTTCCAACTTTTTGAGACCCTAATTGGTGGTCTGAGTGGTCTCCGGGACTCCCGCCTCCTGGATAACTCTGATCACGTCACTCGGTCCAAGAGGGGCGTGGGGATGGGTGAACGAAAGGGCTCCCCGAACTTTTTCTTTCCAGCTGGGCCAAACGGGGGCTTGGTGATGATTGGCCAGGACTCATCACTGCTAGCCTGTCAATCACGGGGCCTACGGGTGGCGAGGGGCGGACCGAGCTCCAACCCCCGGGGATGAGCAGGTATAAAAAGGGGCCCAGCAAGCGCCCGGCCAGCCTGCGAATGCGACCGGCTCGAGATAACGCATCAGGTGCAAGTAGCCCGAGGGTTCCTCCCGATTTGGTGCGGAGCGCTCCGGCAAGCCTGCCCTCCCCGCCCGACCCGCTGGCCCACCGGCCCCGAAGCGCCCCTCCGACGGAGTCCCCTGGCCTTTTCACTGTGGCCGCTCCAGCCCCTGGAGCGCCTTCTCCTCCCGCCACGCTGGCGCACCTTCTTCCTGCCCCGGCAATGTACAGCTTGCTGGAGACTGAGCTCAAGAACCCGGTGGGGCCGCCCACCCCAGCAGCAGGCACTGGAGGCCCCGCAGCCCCCGGCGGTTCAGGCAAGAGTAGCGCGAACGCAGCCGGCGGCGCGAACGCAGGCGGCGGCGGCAGCGGTGGCGCGAGCGGCGGTGGCGGGGGCAGCGACCAGGACCGAGTGAAGCGACCCATGAACGCCTTCATGGTATGGTCCCGCGGGCAGCGGCGCAAGATGGCCCTGGAGAACCCCAAGATGCACAACTCTGAGATCAGCAAACGTTTGGGCGCCGACTGGAAACTGCTGACCGACGCCGAGAAGCGACCGTTCATCGACGAGGCCAAGCGACTCCGCGCAGTGCACATGAAGGAGTACCCGGACTACAAGTACCGGCCGCGCCGCAAGACCAAGACGCTGCTCAAGAAAGACAAGTACTCGCTTCC